CCCCACCCTTCCCCCCATCCTCCTCATATCTGCTACCACCTGTGGTAGCAGGCCATCCACCCGACGTCGCAAACCGTTCTCCTCAACGATCGATGTGCTTAAAAAGAGTCACCTCAAATCTTTCTAGAAATCATTATTCCTGTTGATTTCGTCTCTAATTTTTCTGATGAAAAATTTCAAATTTTTTTCAAGTACCTTAAACAATTCCAAATTCTTTTCAAACATTTTAAACAATTTCATTTGTTTTCAGTGATCTCTAATTTTTTTTTGATGAATAGGGATTGTTTTCGCGTAGACGTCGGGTGGACAAAGACTGTTTTGCGATGAATCGCCGTAGTGGCCAACGAAATTTTACATAACATTCACATGTAAAATTTGTTGGTCGCTACGACGATTCGTCGTGAACGCTCAGTGAGGCACCTAAAAAATTCGCCAATTTGCTCATTTCGGTGCGGTGGCCCACCCTCCCGACCCCGCCACCGCCTCTGAAATATTGTTTTTACGCATTTTGGATGAATTCAAATCCAAGCACTTCAATTATTTGAAGAATGCAATGATTTTTTAAATAATTTCCTTCTTAACTAAATGAATTTATCAATGAATTCTTCTGAATTCATCTAAAATCTTTCACCTTCATTCGATTCGCATGAAGATGCAATTTTTCAATCATCTTAAACGATTTCAATATTTTTTTCAATTATCTTGAAAAATTTCAAAATTATTTCCAATATCTGAAACAATTTCAATCTTTTTTCAGTTATCTTAAGCAATTCCAAATTTTTTTCCAATATCTAAACAGTTTCAATTTTTCTTCAGTTATCTTCAGTAATTTCATTTTCTTTCAATCATCTGAAGTAATTTCAAATTTTTTTCCAATATCTGAAATAGCTTCAATTTTTTTTCGATCATCTTAAACAATTCAATTTATTTCAAATATCCTAAATCGTTTCAAAAATTTTTTTCTTATGTCTTGACAAACTTCAAATTTAAAAAATTTCTAATTTTTTTCAAATATCTTAAACGATCTCAAAATTTTTTCAAGTATTTTGAGAATTTTCGGTTTTTTCAAATATCTTGAAGTCAGTGCCCACTTCAACATGTCCAAACCGACTATGAACAATTGCGGATAAATGCGATAGACAAATACAAATACAATAGTAAATACAATAATATAGCATCACGGACAAACGAATGCGATAATAATTGATCAGTTTTTCAATTTTATTTATTTTTTGTTTTTTTTAAATTTATTTTTTGTTTTTTTATATTTTTATTTGTTTTTTATTTTTATTATTTTTTGTTTTTTTTATTTTTTGTTTTTTTTGTTTTTTTTATTTTTTTGTTTTTTTGGTTTTTTAAATTTTAATTTCTTTTTTCTGTTTTTTTAAATTTTTTTCTTTTTTTGGTTTTTTGCATTTTTTTTCAAATTAAGTAATAATGGTAGTAACGAACGATATCACAAAAGATTAAATGACAATTCGATTGCTACACGGCAATGTGCGTGTATTTAACAAACCAATTGACTCTTAGAACTCCCAGCCAAAATATATCCAACTATAACTCAATCTTCGAAGTAATCCTCAAAAAACTTATCAATTTCAAAAATCTCTCCAAACCATCACAATGTAATTCCTACTCATTTCATATTTCAACTCTTCAATTTCAATTTCAACTCAACCTTCAGTCAATTGATCGTTATGCAAATCGAATGTCCAAATAAACGAAAACACATAAAATGAAAGTGAATTAGGCAAATCAAAAACAATAAAATAAACAATGAATTAGGCAAAAAAACAACAAAATAAAGAAATATGAAGTAATAATAGGAAGACAAATTGATAATGATAACATAAAAGAATGCTAATTATAAAAGACAATTATGATAANTAATAATAATAATAATAATAATAATAATAATAAAAATAACAAAATACAAAATGCAGCAACAACACGATAAAAATTACAAAATAATAATAAAAAAGAGCAGCAACAACAATAATAATGACCGAGGACAGCAGGAGCAGCAAACCAACCAACACAACACAACACACCAAAACGTGGTAAGGACCAGGGACCCACCTAACAACACCACCACCAACCAGCGCGCGGAAGGAGACCGAATCACCGGGGTCGAGAATGGGGAAGAGCGACTTGCAGTTCGGGAGCGCGGAAAATGTACTACAACAATTCACTACAGGTATGGGGGTAATCAGTTATCTTATCACCTTATCTACTGGAATGGGGGTATTCAGTAATCTTATCACCTAGTCTAGAGGAATGGGGCAATCAGTAATCTTATCGCCTAATCTTATCATGCCATATGGGAGTCCTAAGCAACCGAAAATTTCATCTAATCGAATATCACTAACCACAATTTTGTCACTATCCTATCCTAACCACAGCCCGAGGAGAA